CCTCTCTTTATATTTCTGGCTTATGCCCTAAAGTACGTTGCAAGGGGAGCGCACGTGACCCACTATGGCCCTGCATTTGGCTTCACCAGCTACAAGCTGACTGCCATCTTGGTGCACTTTTTGCAAATCACCGGTTATGCTCCACCCCTTGAGTACCTACTCCTCCATGAAATGCCTCCAATGGATGTTGCGAAGCGTATCTTCATTCCTCTCGAAGAAAACCTAACCTGTCCGCCCGAAGCTGCAGATGTGTTTCGCGAGTTCTTGACCTATCTTCTTTCCCTTGATCCGTCCACAGTCACGCTTTGCCTGCGATCGGGTCGCCTTATCCCAAGATTGGATTCTAATGTCCATTTCATTCACTGTCCAAATCCTCTTTTTCCGGACAAAAATATAACTCGTGGCATTGACTCGGCTATGTGGTCCAATTTCCTTGATATTGCCAGACATGCACAGACCATACTGCCTTCAGTTGTCATGCCTAGCAGTAGTAAATCTTCACTGTGGGGACTTCCAGCCCTAGCGCAACCGCCTTCTACTGTTGTTAGCTAGGATATTGTATGTACCTATTCCTACATTCCCAATATATTTTTGCTATTTTTTATGACTTTGTCCCGCGTGCCTCTTGAACCTTTCCTTTTTGCAACAGAATTTTCTGGCGTTATGTGCTTCTGACTACTACAAGGGCTGTATATTTCATCGAAATATAAAGGGATTCATCGTCCAAACTGGTGACCCGACAGGTACAGTCAGGTTTCCTGTTTTCCGTTAATAGTACGTCATTTTAAGGTACCGGCAAGAATGGACAAAGTATCTGGAAGCAAAAGTTTAAAGATGAGTTCAATGAAACTTTGAAGGTAAGGTTCACCGAGCCCGTCAACTAGTTCTGTGCTCATCTTTAGCACACTGCGCGCGGAGTAGTGTCAATGGCGAACAATGGCCCCGACTCTAATGGATCACAGTTCTTTATCACATACAGTAAACAGACAATGCTGGATATGAAGTATTCAATTTTTGGCAAGTATGTTTCGTCAACTGGACTTGCTGTTGTTTTTCTTCTGGATTTTTCTGTCTTCCTTTGAGACAGTCAATCCCTCATGTTTACGCGTGATACTATTACTGTTTTTGTCTCCACGGCGGCAAAAAGCTTCTGGGTGTCGCTTTTTTTCCCGTCAAAGTTTATGCGTGAGATTTGTTTGGACCATCAGTTCTAGTTAAAAACAAACTGGGTTTTAATGAATTCAAATCTTATTGGTTCTTATAGCAGTGTTTTGTTTTGATGGTTATCTGTCAGTTTCATTAATCTTCTTAAACTGAAGACGTTTTCAAATGTATACACGAGATTTCATCATCCATTTTAGTCGGAGGTCGACTTTATTTTCAGTCACGGTTCGTAGAAAGCCGATCTGCATATGCATAGCGTGATGGTTACTGACTGTTAGTGCGTTTGGTAGCTATTCTGCAACTGCAGAAATTTCCATGATTTTTTTTCTAACCTGTCCAAACCGTTATCTTCCCGCACCTGTAGCACCTGCTGCGTGGAAAGGGAATGCTGGCCAATATAAATATATACTATCCAAGTGCATAAGACGAAAATATAAGCAAGAGCGGAGGAATTTGTAGCCTCTACGTAGATGTCGACCAGCGCGACTCTTTGATGCGCTGACCTAATTGCCTTCTGTGGTAATGATTGGGTAGTGTGAGCAGGCGTCACACATTCTCCTTTTCATGAATCATGTACGAATCCACATGCGCAATGACTGAACTCTCTTTTGACTCATAGCTGACACTGGATAAACAGTAAAATCACTAAGTTCCCACACAGGTGGTACGGCTGCACTGTTAAGTTAAATTGTTACCTGAAAGCTCCAGTCAAATAAGTCTTCGGATGACTGCTTTATCTCTATCAGTTACCAGTGGTAATAAAAGTGCTGCTTTCCATTTGACTTTGCACTAGGGTAACGATGTCACTAAGAACTTTAGGCGATGACCCCCTGAAACCTCCAGATGTATTTAAAAGCTCTAGGAAATTTTAAACAGCCCCGAGTGGGAACATCGAGCTGTTGATTTTCGAAAACTGTTCAGTTCACGAATAGAAGCGAATATGCGTGCCCCAGGTTTTTGTTGTAAAGAAGATGAAGACGCGATCTCTGGAACGATAGTTTTATTCTGAGCTTTCGGCTCCACACTCAATTCGTTTTTTTTGTGACCAACGTACAGCGAACAGCTTTTAGGCAATTTATATCCCGAATCCTTTCTGTCTGCCCAAAAAAGGGTATGTCCTGCCTTGCTCGTTTATATCAGCTTTATTAGGAGGGGTTTAGCTGATTTAAATGATTCAATTGACCAGATTGTGAAAAATTTGGTGGTCTCGGTCAGATTCGAACCCACGTCTGCAAGAGAAGGCTTTAGTGCAGACATCTGTGCCATCGAGACCTTACCGGGAACCATGCATTTAATCACACCTGGGTCGATCTACTCCTCAGCCTACTGCAACATATACAATCCACCAATACCGATAGAGTAATCTGACTGCCCAAGCAGGATATCCTAGCAATCAATCTAGAATCCACCAGATGCCTATCAGGCACACTTGGTAAGCTTGGACAGTCAGCTTACTGGATCAGTATTGGTGGATTGCATACGTTGCAGTAAGCTGGGCGGGTGGATCGACCCAAGTTTGACTGAATTCACGGCTCCCGGTAGGGTCTTGATAGTTCAGTTGGCTAGAGCGTTGGCGGTACTAAAGCCTTCCCTTGCTGGCGGGAACTCGAATTCCATCGGGGCCGCTTAATTTTTCACAATTGGGTCAATTCATTTGTATCAGCTTTGGGTCTCCCCACGTTAATTGGCAACGTTTGTCTTTCTTGCCGCTTCACGCGTGAGGTGCTGAACGATGGATTCGTTGGTGGCTTTCTACTTACTTTTTATTTAAAATTCGTATTTTTAAAAGTTCTCTTATTCACTCTGATCATTTTTAATCACACAGGGTAATTGATGGATGGGACGTTTTAGACGAATTAGAACGGGCGCCTGTAGAAGACAAGACTTATCGACCATTGACGGACATTCACATACAAGATGTTACTATTCATGCTAATCCTTTCGCCGAATAACCCCCCCTTTATTGTATTTTACTATCACCTGTATAAGATTCGCTGCAAATAAATGCTGATCTCTGCTGACTTCTTTCCTATTTGCCTCATTTGGTGATTTTCCGTTAACGCTTTATTTGCAGATATTTTTAGGTTGCTCATACACATGAAACCCAGCAAGGCAAACATGCCTTCTCGTTCTCTTGGCCTCTTTGGGCAGGTTGTTATTGGCCCTCCTGGTAGTGGTAAATCGACGTACTGTGCGGCTATGCAAGAATTTCTGACCCAGTTAGGCAAGTTTAGCTTTCCTCTATCAGTATTCATTTTATTACAATTTTAGACCGTGAACGTTTTTTATGGGAATAGCGGTTTTGTTGCTTTTATACCGCACAGCCCTTCCAATGTTCATAGTTTATTGCGCGAAACCCATATTGGCTGTCATTGTAAATCTTTTCTTTTTAGGTCGCAAAGTTGCTGTTATTAATTTAGATCCTGCAAACGATACCTTGCCCTATAAGTGCGCTGTAGATCTTAAGGATCTCATTCGGCTGGACGAAGTTATGCAGTCGCTTCATCTCGGTCCCAACGGAGGTTTACTTTATTGCATGGAATACCTTTATAAAAACCGCAACTGGTTGGTGGATATGCTGACAAAGCTCAAACGCGATTCTCCGAAAACTTATGTCTTATTTGACTGTCCAGGACAGGTGATTATGCAATATTTTTGTCCGTAGTCTTAGGAATTTAGTGGTAACCCGCTACAGCCTACGTAATTTCAAGTTGTCAGTAGTTTTTTGTACAAATTCTGTACTTTAAATTTAACTACATCTACAAGACTTGAACTTCTGCACTCCAATAATCAGTTCGGTACTTTCTGTGGGTTATGTAAACGAAACACTATATTTGCGACTTGCGCCTTCTAGTGTGTAGGAAGTTATTTTCACCAGGCCGACTTTCATCATTCAATAAAAGTTCTATGTGTGCAGTCCTTGGATGTTAGTTTCCACGCCGCACGACCTTAAATAACTCCAACCTTTCCTTTTTTTATTTTAACTCAATCATTTTATCATGTATTTCGTCCTTAAACCATGTTTTTTTTTAATTTTTGACACCACCTACTCAGTGCATATTCCGTGACTCCTCCGTAACTTTTTCAGGTCGAACTGTATTGTGTCAGTGGGGCATTCCGAAGGCTTCTGTCCTTTCTAACGCTCACTCATCTTCCGACAAGTACAATCCCGGACTCCAACCAGCAGGTTATCTCTCTTCCGAAACCTGTTATAGAAGCTCCTAGTCAATCAGATCTCTATGGGCTGGGTCTCAGGCTGAGCAGCGTTCATTTGGTGGATTCACACTACTGCACCTGCCCGGGGAAGTTTATCTCCGTACTTCTTACTTCGTTGGTTTCAATGCTGCAGTTGGGGTTGCCACACGTAAACGTGCTGAGTAAAATCGATCTTATTGAACAGTATGCGCCGCTTAGATTCAACTTGGATTTTTTTACCGAGGTCCTCGATCTGTCTTATCTAGTTGAACAATTAGATGTAAGTTTTGACTTCGTGGGCTTTAATTGGCACATATCATTTGCTTTGCCTGTGTTATTTCTTATTAATAAACTAAAGTCAATTCTTAATTCAAAAGTATTGATCCCGCAGACTTTTTAGAAAGATTTAGAATTCTGTTTTTACCGAACAAGGCTTAACCTAGTGATACAATGGAATAACTCTTCAATTCTTCGTCCCAACTCCTGCTACCCAGAGTCACCTTTGATCAGTTGTTTCCCTTAATTTAAGTTTTTTTATTTTCAGGACGTCCCGTTTTTCGCAAAATATAAGAAACTAAACAGAAGGCTTGCAGAACTCGTCCAAGATACTGCTTTAGTCCATTTTCTGATTTTGGACGTTCAGGTATAATTGGTTTTTTGGTTCGTCTCATTGTTTCGTGTAAACATAAATTGGATAGTATCCAAAATGTTCAACTTGAGATTTTCCCGATATTTTTGCTTTATATCGATTGTGAAGTTGTCCTAAAGCCAGTTTTTCTACATTTCTAGGATCGCACTCACCTTGAGCAAATAATGCGGAATGCTGACAAGGGCAACGGCTACGTATTTGGTACTAATGAACAGCGAACTTTGCAGTCCATGCTCTCGTATGCGTCCGGAGCGGAGTTTTCTGACGATTTGGTGTGTCTTGCGCAAGAAAAATACACTCATGCGAGTTCCAAAATTGAAAAGCCAAACTGATTGCCTTGCATGTGGCTAAAATTATCGAAGACTGCCCTCTTGTATATACTATGAAAAGTTGGTTACACTGTATTTGTGAACAATTTTTAATGAATGGCTGTGCATAAAACTTGATCATGCATTTACTCCAGTTTTCTTCTTTGTCCGCCGTAGGATACGTATTTCCTTCCATCATTTTTCATGTTGCAGGGGAAACACCTCCTCTACTTTTTCATGACCTGTATTAAAAAAAACATTTGATATGTCATTTTGTTAAGATATCGATATTTCTCGGAATTATCAACAATAGTAAATTTGATCTAATCGTTTTCAGTCACTTACCTCTACACGAGAATGCATCTATTCTTTGATGCGCCAAGGATTTGTTTGCGTGCTCGTTAATTGTAGATTCAAAACATCTGTGTTCTATTAGGCGACCTACTCGAAAATGTTGTGGATAGTGCTGCTTTTCAAGTGCGCGAATGGCATCAAAATTTGTGAGGATTGTTTCGATCTTTAAAAACCCGTTAATGAACTAATTGCATTTTACTTTCTTCTGTAGTTTTTGAGTGGATGGTTCTGCCAGTGTCTCACTTAGAGTCACATTACTGTGAATGAGGCTGACCTTGGTCGGGTTAGTGTAAAGATGTGCCTTTGATGGAGGGTGTTGTTCATTTTCTTCTATTCTCATTCCTCTACAGAATATTTTTATGGGTTCTTAGTACCTTGTGTGTCTTTCCACAAAATATGCGTGGAGATAATTTAAAAAGTCGGATGCTCCCTCAGCTTTGCAGTGGATTACTGCATATGTGAGCTCATGTGGTATCTTAACTTCGTGCTCTTTAAGAAACTGCAACCTAGTAACTATTCAGTTCATACCTTTTCTATTGTTTGCCAGTTTTGTTGACGGAGTCTGTAGTTCGATCCACTTACGGTTCTAGATAGAATAGAGTTGTCCTTCGTGCAGCGACTTAATATGGATGCCACAACAGTTCCATCGCACAATGACCTTTCCAATTTTTTTAAAGTAATTTGTTACCACTTAAGTTTTGCCGGTTCGACCTCTGCACCCATTTCCGTCAGCCATTTCGCTGTTTCACGTCTTAGCCGCGTCATCTGTGTCCATGGCTATTGTCAACGCTCGAAGAACAGTAAAACATCCGCCCACACATCTCAAGGTCGTTGATGTTCGCTGTTTGTGATGATCGATTGCCTGTCAATCTGCATGCTATTGACTCCAGCAAGGCTGCAGTTCCTAAGCGTTCTTTGAGGAAAGTTTAAATCGATAGCAAATTATTTTTGACGCTTCTGTGCAGTTTGCGACTTATCGACTGAACATCCTTGGCTAGGGTTCTGGCAAAATTGGACTTACACAACAAAGTAAATTGACAACTTTGCGCGTGGAACAGAGCAAGAAAGTTAATTTCAAGAATAATACACTGTATTTCGAATATTTTCGATATAAAAATGTATATAGAATTCAAAACTTCTGCGCGTCACGACCACAAAAACGTCTTTGATAGTGGTCTTTGTTTTTACGATCGCACGTGTGTGTGTGTGCCGTTTTTTAGACCGGCGACTTTAATAATTGCAATTGTCAGGATATAGTTCGTATGAAACCTTGTGTTATCTCCTAAGAGCGTGTTTATACACAATCTGAAATATTAATCTGGCTTGCTTAAATTACATTAGAACTTTGCTCATTTATCACAAGAGCCCATCCGTCGATCAAGTTGACAGCACGTCTCAGGTTTGCTCGAGTAGAAGCGTGAATCGATGTCGGGCGTTGAAATGGCAGTTGCCCAAAAGTAACAACTAGGTCATTCACAAATATCTGAAAAGGTAATAGACGTGACGCAAAACCTGAGTAGTTGCATTACTTATTGACGCTTCCGTTGATGTGACAATTTTTGAAATACCCGTTGGAAGCAGAACTTCCAATCCGACTACCACGGTCGATCGCCTAACCTTCTAATAAGGATTGCCATTGCGTTCAGGGGGTTCATGATGCACAGATTTTCCTCAGGGGCTGTACTGCCATTGTTGCCTTTCTAAAAAAGTGCAAGTGCTCAGACAAATAGTTCAGCATAATTTTCAAACTACATTAATACGCCTGAGCAGGTTATGGACTACCACAGCCGCTTGACGCATTTGTACCAAAGCCTTCTAGTTACAGCAATGCTCACGTTTCTTCCCTTGAAACACCAGCCCCTCCGGGCCCCGCCATGCCCCGTGGGCATGGT